CAATTGGGGTCTCCCATCGAGCGTGGTCAATCGGTTCCAACACGCCCTGGGCTATCAATTTGTCCAATTGTGCATCAATCTTTGGCTTGAGTGCAAAGGGCACTCGACAAGGCTTAAGGCGAATGGGCACAACTTCGGGGCTGAGGTTAAATGATATAGGGGATTTCTTGTACTTGCCTAGCTTCTCGCTGAACACGTCCTGGAATTCCTGGACGAGGGCTGCTTCCCAGTCATCGCTTCCCATCTGGTTGATGCCAGCTAGCTCAATTCCTAGTGGCACAAACCACTGCAAACCCAGAAGGCTGGGTCGATCTCGATCGACAATGGTCAGAGGTAGGGTTGCGGTGTGGTCTTTGAATGTTACTTGGACGTTGCTGGAACCGGCAACCAGGATTCGGTTTCCCTGGTAGTCTTTCAATATGATATTTTGAGTGCTGAGGTCCTGGCGGCGGATGTCAGGGATCAGCTGTCTGAAGGTTTTCCAGGAGACCATGGAGAGGGACGACCCAGTCGACTTCCATAACGCATGGACGATTCTCGATAGTGACCCTCACTCGGATTTTCCTTGCATCAAGGGACGATGTGTGGCCGATGATGATAGTCTGATGCGCCTCTTCACGTCGGGACGAAGTGGCAGGTGCTCGGTTTCTGTAGTGTAGGTTCCATTGAGTGCCTTGGCGGTCCAAATTTGCTGGCGGGGTGCTTGCGGTCTGTCGGAAATTGTTTTCTCTCCTGGTTGGGCTGGGTCCTCGCTTGCTTCTGCAGACCTTTGCGACGTGGCCCCTCTTCCCACAGGAACGGCAGAGTGCATCTAGGAATTTGCAGTCAGATCACGGGTGGCTACCCTCGCATCCGGAGCATTGGTACGAGGATTTTCGATTCCGCTGGTCCCGCTGGTCGCGTTCTGATCTGAGTCTGTTGACCTCTTCTTCCTCGCTTTCTGATGAGGACTCGAGGTCCTTATGGTGAGTGGTTGTTGTGTGCCTTTCGGAAAACGGTGTAGCATCGCTGGCGAGTTGGTGGTGCGGTGCGTTTGCTCGACGCATTCGAGTGGCTGACTTCCTGGTTGCTTCTGCTGCAGTAGCGTCGGCGATGACATCTGCGAGGGCGATGTCTCTCTTGCTCTGGGTTGTAGGATCTTTGAGACCCAAGGCAATCCGATCTCTCATGGCTTCTTCGAGGTTGGTGAAGCCACAGAGTCCACCTAGGTTCCTAAGGTCAGCGATGAAGTCTCCAACACTCTCGCCTTCCTGTTGGTCCCTCTGGTAAAACTAGTGTCTTCGGATGAGCGTTGGTACCGCTGGGGCATAATGGGCCCGAAGGATTGGGGCGAGGTTGTCCCAGTCCATTGTCTTGACTTCTGCTGGTTTTGCAAGCGCCTTTGCCATTTTGAAAACGACAGGCCCGCAATGGGTCAGGAATACAGCTCGTTTCTTGCCAGGCGATGCATCCTTCAGATTGTTGGTTTCCAGGAACATCTGAAACCTGTCCATATATGAGTCCCAGTCTTCGTTTGCCAGGTCAAATGGAGCGGGTGGTATGGCGCTGCTGGTCATTCTGCCGCTTCTTTCGGTGCGCTTTCAGCCACGTGCTCTGTAGTGTTCGTTGTGTCTTCAGTCAGCTCTTAATGTCTCCGCATCCCACCTTCATCGCCAGTGTTATGTCTGGAGCGTGGGCGCAAGGAACGGAGACGAGGCATCGGATAGTGACTCAACTCTTTATTAGTGACTTCAGAACAGAGCGAAAATACTTTTATAGGGCTGGCTGCTGTCAAACAGCCAATGCTTTCGAGTTTGCCGCACTGGAAACATCCAATCAGCGGCGCCCATTAACAGCCAATCAGATCGGCCAGAATTGACCAATCAGGATCCGCTGCTCGTGGTCCAATCAGAAGTGCAGGATTACGAGCCTGCTGTAGAAGTAAAACTATTGAGGATTTTAAACAGTGCGTTTGCTTAGTTCGTAACATATGGAATGTTTCTACACATTAAGCAATACAGAAAAAGTTAAAAGAGCCATTTTATGTATTTATTTATTAAGTCCAGGCCTGAAAAGCTTTACATATCTATAAAATGTGCATAGAGGGGGATATTCCATCCATTGTATCTTTTCCTGTCATTAAAATTATTTCTAAGAAAGGCCACTATTGATAATGTTCCTGTTTATGGATGAGGATAATGATTTCCATTGGCAAAAGGTTGGAAGACTTTCCTAAAGCCATGGAACCCAAAAGAAAATGAAAAATTGCTGACAGAGAGTGTAAAGTTATAGAAGCTGCATGTGAAGTTCTAAAGAGGCACTTAACTAACCACTTTTTTTAAAAAAAATCAAGTTATGCACACCTAAATCTAGATTCAATAACATAAATTTTGGTCCAGGTATTGAATTGATCCGCTCAGCCAGTTAAGGGAAGCAGCCTTGTTTTGGACAAGGAACTCTCAGCCAGGATTATTAACAGGTCACTTCTAAGGAGGGAATTCTATATATTCTGAGCTGCTCAACAAAAAGCTTTGGTCCATGCTTCGGTGTTGGAAAGCCCCGATCCTTTGGATTTGGGGCAGAAGCCGCCTTGTAGGGGTGGCAGAGGAAGGGGAGACCATCAGCTGGGTGGAGGGGAGTCTCAAATCCCCTCCCTGGCTTTGCAATTACTCCCTCCTAAAGACGCCTGAAGCGGTGGTCTAAAATGATCACCCTGAAGGGGAAGATTGGACTGGAATAAGATTGTGCAGGAGAGAATGAAAGGAGGAGGAACGGGACAATATAATTAAATGGAAGTTACCCCCAGGATTAACATTTCAAAGAATTCTTAAGAAAGGATTTAAAGCAGCAAATTGAAAGAGGAAAAAAAGGTGTGAATTGCCTTTGACAGCAGCGGAGCTTCGAACCGAGAGAGGTAGAAGCTGGAGGAGGAATCATCTAATCAACTTGGATAAGTATATCTTGTTTTTACATAGGCACTGATAAAGCTGAACTATAGATTGTTAAAGAGAAAATTTAGTATCAATTGGATTTGACTTTTTTGAAAGATTGTGGTTTAAAAAGCTCTGAATAATCGGGAAGGAAGAAGAAAAGAGGAGGTGTGGACTTGTCAGAACAAAGAGTGCCATCTGAGTTAAAACTAACATGTTTTCTTTTTTAAAAAAACTCTTTCTTAAAAATACAAGGGAAATTGATACAAAATAAGAATTTTGGAAAATTGAAACATTTAAACAAAGAAACAGGGAGATTCTACCCTTGGATTAATTGTTGGTTCTGATATGGATTTGGCATTGGATTAGTTGAGGATTAAAACTTGAGAGGAAAAAAATAAAAGTGGACTTGGAAATTAATTTTAAAGACACTATTTGGACTAACTAGAAAGCTGTAAAATGGCGATATCTTTTCAGGCATTAAAAATGGAACTTAGAAACATGAAAGAAACATTACAAGAACGAGGTGAAACTCTGGGCTTTGTTTTTAAATTTTTTGAAGATGCATGAACAACAAAGACAAAGGACAGAAGAGGAGGTGGAGCAAACCTCAGAAGGAGCCATCTTTAACTACCATTGAGAACAAAGAAATCTGGAAAGAAAGAGGAAAAGAGTTGGAAATAAATATCGGTGATTTGGGAAATTGAATAAAGAGGGAAATATCCAGAAAATTAAAAAAGGGGAAAAGAGTCAGCAGAAATTTGAAGGGCAGAATTGAGTTATAAATAGAGAGGGGGTAAAAACTGGATTGAAAGAATAAAAGAGAAAATATTAGGGGAAGGAAGGGAAAAGAAACAGGATTTGAGAACCAAGAAATATGGGAATTCTAAAAAAATAGGGAAAAACGTTTAATTAGACATAGAGAGAATGGCTGAATGATACTTGGAAAGGGGATTTGCAAGGTGCTGGGGAGTAACATAAATAAATTTATAGTTGGGAAATGGGGACATATAGATTGACAAAATGGAAAATAGAATTGTTATTTTTTGTTAATGCTTTTTTCCTTTATGTATAGAGATAATTGTAATACAGAATAGAATATGTTAATTAAATATATTGAAATATACTGAGATAAAATGGAATGATATAGGAGAAGAGCTGAAATTGAATTAAAATCAGGGTTTAGGATTAAATCTTTTTGAAATTGTAGATAAACTTTATGAAATTAAAAAGGGGAAACCATGCAGAATCTGATTTATATATGTTATATAAAGGGGATTATATGCTTAAAGGGGATTAATAATTTTAACATCTTAGGTAATAAAATGTTAAACATTTAATGGGATTTAAAAGGGAAGATAATTAATGAATATGTAACTTAGAGCTGGCACACTTACAGTGATATTTTAGGGGGGAGAAACCAATTTATAGAAGGAGTGTTATTAATTAGAACTTAAAAGGATGGTACAAATGTGACAGTTAAAAGTACTAAAGTATAATAATTATGAAGTTAATATATGAGAATTAAATAATGAGATAAGCATTTGGAATAATATAACAAAATAGAAAATGTACAAAAGTACAAAATGTACAAACAATGTACAAAATGTACATTGTTAAGATAAGAAATTAAATATAAAAATTGAATATGTAACTATGGTCATATTTGTATGTATATTTGAAACCTGTAATCATGCTGTTCTCTAAAAAGAGATGTTAAAATGTGGAAAACTGAATAAAACTTGTTTTAAAAAAAACAAAAAGCAGGAAAGAAATCTAATAAGAAAGAAATCCAATCCAAAATACACTGCTGAAGATGGAAAAGTAGCAGACCAGTAATTCTTGTAGTCAAACTTCATTTCTGAGTCACAATAACAGGATGGTTGGCAGCTTGGCTAATTTCTATTGGCTTCATCCCTTCCCCCTCCCTGTGTCTATAATCATATGTCAAGAGGTATTTATGGACATAGCTGATCACCAGCCAGTTCAAAAATAAAATTGGCCAAGTTTTTGGGCTATACTACACAATTCATAAATAGTGGCTGTTAGTCTCAAGTCTTAATTATAAACACCAATTTGATTCTTTCCCAGATTCAGAAAAATCTTGCTGGCTATCGGAACTTACATCATGGATACTTATTGGACTCGTAGTGTTTTTATTTGTTGCCTGCATCTTTTCCTTAATAGGGTGTTTTAGAAGTGCGGTAAGTGATTTTCACAGCTTTCTTCAAGACTTGTTTCTGCCAAAGATATAGTAACAGAGTTTCCATTTTATGAGATTCATAGACATACAGTGTCAGCATGTGGAATGGAAACCCCTTTGATGAATAAATCCAAGCCATTTATTTACTATTGGAATTCAGTCACAAGTTTACTGCATAAGATGGAGTTGTTTGTTTATTTTAGTCGCCTGAAGTTTTAGAACTAGGGCAAAAGGAGAAAGAATACTGTAAACATCAGCAAAAATATCCAAGAAAGCTATTCCTCTGATTGCTGGCTGCAAAAGAATTGATAAATAATAGTGGATCCAGCCAAGCTCTGAAGTCATTTGGAAAGCATCCAGCAGGAAGTGAACAGGTGTAGTAATCCTTTTATTTTATTTTATTTTTACTCTGAATTTGCCATTATTTTACTTTTGCATACTTTTGGTGATTTCAAAAAAGAAAAGAGTTAAGATCACTCATCAAAATTATTAATCAGAAACCCACATCATCTCCTTTTTCTTTCCAGGTTTGCCAATGTGCCAACACTTATGAAAACAACACTGAATATATGTCCATGGCGGCAGTAAAACCTAGATGAAAATGCAGTATCCAGAGAAAATACATAAAGTGGGTTCCATGAAGCAGTGGGGTCAAAGATGACCTTGGACTTAATTTACTTTCAAGGAGTTGGTTTTCTCTCCTTGCTTATCTCTTCTTCCTAAACAGCCAGCTTTGGCTTCATCAGAAAAGCTCCTAAAGCAAGAAACTACTTTGAATGAACCTAGCATAACATCTCCATGCCATCAAGATTCTTCTCCACGTATTAATCTTGCATTCCTCCTCAATGCCAGTTCCAGATACTAGGACTGCCTTGTCTACAGTTATTTTTCTGTTATGAATCAAAGACTCAAAAGATTAATGGAAATATGGAATATTATATCAACAATCTTTTCTAAAAAAATTAAAATGATTTTATAACATTCAGAGTTTGGGTTTTCTGTATGAATTCCTGGATAAGCCAGGAAGCATAAAATGTGAGAAATGTCCACCCTGTCAACTTGTAAAGCATTTCTACACTTGTTTCCAAGTTGGCATAAGAATGGGGGGGGGGGTTGCAATGTTGAGTTTTGGCCTCAGATTTTTTCTGTTGAAATTGGGCTGGAAGAAAGTAGAACAGGTTACAGTTGTGTTTATCTTAGCTATTCTTTATACATTAAACAGCTAGAATATATTTTAAAGTCATGAATGTTATAACTTCCTCAAAATTGAAATACTGCTTTTAATCAGATTTTATTTCTTTGATTTTGCCTTAAACAACTTAAGAGAATCTGCTTAAATGAAGTATATAATAAAATTCTAAATACCTAAAGTTCTACCTTCCGTATTGAGATGTGCTTTGGGATAACTCCTCAGGAAAAGCTCGGATCCGAAAATCAAGTGGATTTTCAATGTTTCCCACCCCGCAGAACATGAAAATGAGCTTAATTTTGAAATCCGACCTCTGCTTCAAAAGTTATGTATTCCTGCTAAATAGAGTTTGACCTTCCATTTTGAGATGTGATAACTTCTCAGGAAAAGATAGCATCCAAATATCACATGGATGTTCAACGTTTCCCATCCCACAGAGCATGAAAATGAGCTTAATTTTGAAATCCGAGCTCTTCTTCAAAAGTTACGTATTCCTGCTAAATAGAGTTCTACCTTCCATTTTTGAGATGTGATA